TAAACGAATGAGCAGTCTAGCACTTAAACTACTCAGTACTACTTTAACAATGTTTTCTGTTCTTTCCCTGACCAAAGATAAATAGATTAATATAATAATGTTAAATAAATTTATATTTGAGGAATTAAGACTCATGTTTAGTTTACAATGGATGGTTATGTATGATTTGGCCTTTGTATTTATTGTTATTTACATCGGGAAGGCAGGTAGAATTCAATCCAATTATTAATCCATCAGTCAAAAGTTTTGCAAGGGTTTGAGTTTCACTGTCTTCCGTTGCAGTTATATATTCTCAGTCTTTTTGGTGTGGTGGTGATCTGATTAAGACTGAAGAGAGAATTTCTGTTAGCACAGCAAGATAAGGATTATTGTATGAGTTGTGCCAGTCATTTTGTAGGGTACTTATAGTTTGAGAAAAGAGACATACTGTTAAAACAGAGATGGTCAATCTTTTTGGCAAAGAAGGGCATGCTGATTGTCAGGTGAATAAGTTAATTAGTCATATTCTTTTATATTCTCTATTCTATCCTTTATTGTAATAATTTATTCTTTACTTTTTATTGTTTATTCCTTACTTTTTCTAAGGACTACCAGACCCATAAAGGAAATGTGTATTTGTAACATTGGAAGTCAGGCAAAGACTGCAATGAATATGTGGAAACCAGCCAGATAAAATAAGTATCAGTTACTAGGCACTATTGATAAACACAGAAAACAAAGTGGTTAGGAAGTTATTGATTATGTTCCTATTTTGCTTTGACTCCCAGTGTGGCTTTGCCCTGTTCCAGCATACCTAAGATCTGCGAAAATAATGTACATGCAATCCTCATTTTATAACCACAATTGGGACTGGAACTTCCATTGCTAAGCAAGTTACATCTGATTTCCTGACCTTTTTTGTTGTGGGGTTGTTAAATGAATCACCATGGTCATTAAACGAATCCAGCTTCCCCCATTGTTGGAAGCCCTCTGGGACAGTTGTAAATGATGATCACATGAGCCTGGGATGCTACAACTGTCATAAATACTTACGGCTGAATTTTGATCTCATGACTGTGGGGACATTGCAATGGTCATAACTGCAAGAACCAGTTGTAGGTTCCTTTTTTTCCAAGACTGCCATAACTTTGAATGGTCATTAAGCAAATGTTTGTATGTCGAGTACTACCTGTAATGCTAAAACTCTGAAGACTTTGCCTGTCCATAGAATAGAAGCAACAAAATAGAATAAAAGTTCTCCTACCCTTTTTCTACTTAAACCTTATGTCCAGCCCCAGCAGATAATGGATATTTGTGGTTTAGTAACAGACCAAAGACTATCACAGGAAAATATTGAAATGCGGTACATAGAGATAATTGAAATTTGATTTGAAATATAGTTTAATTCATTGACTGAAGTACAGTTTAAAGAGATTCAGAAGGGGATTATCATGTGGACAGTCTTTAAAAATGGAGGTAAAACAGCAGGGCAGGGTATGTGTTTCATGAAGAATTATGCTCAAGTCATTGCTGCTGCTGCTATTATTAATTGATTGATTGATTTGAAAGTATCAGTCTTCTCAACTGGATGAATTTTACATTAATTTGTGATCTACCTCATGAGCAACTCAAGAAAAGAAAAATATAATCCCAGATCTTGAAAAGTGAGTGCTATCTAGCTGAAAAAACATATAATCTGCTCAGTTCCATGCGGAAGCAATTTCACCCTGATCCATTCCTCAAATTTCCATTCTACTCTTCTTTGCATGGGAATATTTCTATAATTATACTATTCTTGTAGTTTAAACTTCCCTTAAATAAGGTATAGATATCAATTATTTGGCTGCCATAAACATTTCCTCAAGTTTGTCTCATTTTGCTTTATCAAACTGAACTACTGTAAAAGGAGATCAACACATACAGTAATTACTACTGCGTAAAAAACCCTACGTTTTGCTCCCTCTCTCTGTCCTTAAAAGCCAGCTTTAAGGACCAATCTGCTTTAAAATAATTTATATTTTATCTAATTACCTGACTGGAAAAAGGTATCTTTCTTCCATTCCAAAGAAGATCATCAGAGAAGTGTATGTCAGTCTTCAATTCTTGTCTGATTTATTTACAAATATTTCTTTATAGAAGTGCAGAAATATGTAAATACTCTTGCTTCCCTGCATTCCTGCTGATTTCTAATGTGTCTAATGGAGACGAAGTTATAAAACAATACTTTGTATTCTGTTATGAATATTTCAAGAATTCTTTATTTATTTCATGCATAGCTCATAGTGCTGACATTTGATTTATAGCAGTATGGATGTACCTGGGGTTGCTAAGGTTACCCATTTTCATTCACCCGCAGATATTTGAGATCTACATAATCCTATCACATCGTCCACTGCATTTCAAAGTGATGTTGATAAATGTTACCTTCCTTAGATGATATTTCCATTTAGATGTGATATATCTCAAGTCTTCTGTCTTTTAAAATATTGTAGTTGATGAAATTTTACATTATGTGCATAGCAGAGAGCCAAGTTAACATTTCCTCCGCCCAAATTTGAATTCCCCCCTTCCCAAAAAATTGTTACAAAGTAAAAAAAAGAAAGAAAGAAGTATTTGGAATTCAAATCTGTCCTTGCAAATTTAAATAGTTATTTTTCAACCTTTATCACATTACTTTTATAAGAAAGGATGCGTAGACCTAGTCTTTACTAGAAAACATGTATCTCAGGGATTGGCATTTACACCCTAATCTCAGCTTTCTGAGCTGGCTAAAATATATTGAAATATCAGAATCTGAACATGCTATATATTATCCAAAATTGATATAGTAAAATTAAACATCGCCATGGCACAAATGATTTTTGTCTGTCAACATAATTTTCTTGATGAAAATAATTCCGTAGAATCAGGGCAACTACTAATAAAACCCTGTTCCTCACTATACAATAGTGTTACTTAAATTGGTGCCCACTATGTTAGCTGGCACAGTGTTGATTTGTATTTCTAATAGTGATGGTCCTCATCATTATAGGCCATTAGATTGGAGGAATCTGCTGTAAAAGTTTTAATTTCTTGAAGAGAGAATATTGAAGATAACTTCAATAGGAGAGTGGTTGGCTAACATACACTTAACTGTCTCATACACGTAGGGCTTGGACTATGGAATACTTTAAAGAATAGAGTAAATACTGGATTAGATTCTGGAAGAAAACTTGTGTTAAGTGAAATACTTAGTCCTTGACTTATTATAATTGGGACCAGAATTTCCATTGCTAAACAAGGTAGTTGTTAGGTGAGGCACACTCGATTTTATGAACTTTTTTGCCGCAGTTGTTAAGAACTGCAAATCATGCAATCCTTAAGTGAATTATGCAGTTAAGCAAATCTGGTTTGTCCATTGACTTTGCTTGTTGGAAGCCAGCTGGGAAGGTTCCAAATGGTGATAATATGACCCTGGGATGCTACAGCCATCATAAACGCACTTTGCTTATCAAGTGCCCAATTTTTTATTATGTAGGAATGCTGTGATGGTCGTAAGTGTGAGAACCGGTCATAAGTCAGTTTTTTTCTGTGCCATTATAACTTCGAACAGTTGCTAAAGGAGTTCTTGTAAATTGAGGACTAACTGCAAATGCATACTGGATGCTATTTTTGCCAAAATATAATAATAACTCTATTGTGTGATTCCATAAGGATACCATTATGTTATGTGCTGTTGCTTAATAATAAGAGTTTCCTGAGCAATTGTATCTAACTGGCTGAGTCCAAAGTATCTCAAAATATGATCTCACTAATGAGCTGGTGTAAAAAAAAAAAAAGGAAAGAAAAGAAAATGCTAGCATTTTTGTATGACATGTTTTATACACTGCAACATTTTGAATGCATCCAGCTTTAAGATATGAAGTACCATATGTTTTCTAACTTGTACAGATATATAAACATTGTTTAAAATATTGTATAAACGTTGAGGTAGAGGGGTTAAGAGAAATAATTCACCTCTCTTTCTTCTGTTAAATGTTGGAGTTATCATGGCTAAATGTGGTCTTTCTCCTAATCAGAATTTCTTTTTTTTTAAAATCAAGTTTTATTGATTTTTTTCTTTTACACACGCACACACACACATTTAATTAACAGAGTATTGACCGTATCATATCTTATACAACTTATCATATCCAATTTCATTTTACAGTTACCATTTTTGCCAAAATATTCTTTTTCCATACTTCTTTATCTTATCTTAATACTTCTATACTTATTATATAAACAACATCTCCATCCGTCCTCAAATCCTAGTTTCTTAACATTATTTCAATTAGTTATCTTATCTTATCCATTGCTAATCATATATATTCCCTTTTAACTTTCATATTAATTCGTTCTTCATCCTAATAAATTTGAACATTCTCGGGGTTGCCTTTCTACCATTTCATCTCCCTTGTTTTACAACAATTCTTCTTCTCCTCTCCTCTCTTTCTCTTCTCTCCTTCTTCTCTCCTTTTCTACTTTCCTCTTTCCTCTTCTCCTACTCCTTCTCTACTTCCCCTTCCTTTCCCCCTCCTCCATTCCTTCCTCCCTTTCTAACCTTCTCTCCTATTCTTATTTTCCCTCCCTTTCTTCCTCTCCTTTTCCCTTTCTTCTATTTCTCTCTCTCCTTCCTCTCTTCTCCTTCTTCCCTCTACTCCTCCTTCCATTCTCTTTCCATTGTTGTATTCATTTTCAATTCAATATTTTGCACAATGGTATCCGGGCAACCCCGTTAATCAGAATTTCTTCTTAAGCATTCCAGAACACTGTGGAAGAATCTTATGGCTGATTGTGCTGGAGTCTGTGCTGTATTTGACAAACTACAATTGCTGCATCATCGTGCTTAATCCTAATTTATTTGCAATTCCTATAAGAAGAAGCCATAGATGTCTCTTTGTCTCTTCAAAATGCTGTTATGATTCATTTGGTGCAATCCATGTGCATGGCACTTTATAAGTAATCTGTCTCCCTCCCTTTCCTTCAAACCAACCATTGCCCAAGAAACTTACAATGATTCTTAATGTTTTCTGAGTACTTGGCTTTATTTACTGACTAAGGTACATTAAGTCTTTTGTCCAATTATGAATGATATTTATTGGGGCTTCTACAGAGAGCTGGTTGTGGAAGGGTCCAGTCATTCTGGTATGACAAAGAGAGGGGTCAAATAACAAGGCAAATATCTTCCTGCTGCTATGGAGCCTCCTAGTGGTGTCAGTGCTGCACAAGCACCATCTAGATTAACTGGAAGAGTAATTTAGACAGAACACTACTGTGTATACTCCTACTTTGTAGATAATGCAATAAAGGGAAATATCCTCCATCCGCTTTTTCTTTAGGGCTTTCCCCGTTGCTTTGTGGCTTGCTCACAAAACAATTCACATGCAGAGTGCTGATTATATTAAGTCTTTTTAGCATCCCAGGCATCTGTACTTGAGATTGTTGGCCATCTAAATTTAGTGCATTTCTTCCTTTGTTTTAATAAAACTCCCATTTTTCACACCTTCTGATTGTACACACCCTATAAAATGTCTGGATAGTCTTCTAGCTGAGATTATTAGGGCCCAGCTATTTGCGAGACCACCTTCTGCCACCGATAACCTCCCATCGGCCAGTTCGGTCCCACAGAGAGGGCCTCCTTAGGGTGCCATCGGTCAAGCAATGCCGACTGACGACCCCCAGGGGGAGGGCCTTCTCTGTGGGGGCACCCACCCTCTGGAACGAGCTACCCCCAGGAATACGACTAATCCCGGACCTCCGGACCTTCCGTCGAGCTTCCTATTCCAGCAAGCTGGGCTGGCTTGAAATTTTTAAAGGGTTTTTAAGGGGTAATGGGTTTTAAATACTTCGGGAAGCCAATTGGATTTAATTCTGTTTTAAATTATTTTAAATTTTGTATTGTATGTATTTTAATCTGGCTGTGCACCGCCCTGAGTCCTTCAGGAGAAGGGCGGTATACAAATTTAAATATAATAATAATAATAATAATAATAATAATAATAATAATAATAATAATTTAAGACCCCTGCCTGCAGGCAGAATTAGAAGGATTTCAACTGGGCAGCCATGTCATGGCAACCCAATTTCCACTTTGGAGGTAAAAGTTGTATCCAGTTGAAATAACTGGTTTGCAAGAATTGCACAGTAACTGCTTCTTTGGTTCCATAAAACAGGAAGTTGTAAAGACCAGGATTATTTTAACAGATCAGAATAATAGAGTTGGAAGGGACCTTGGAGGATCTTCTAGTCCAACCCCTTGCTCAAGCAGGAGACCCTATAATATTTCAGGCAAATGGGTGTCCAATCTCTTCTTAAAAACCTCCAGTGATGGAGCATCCACAACTTCTGAAGGCAAGCTGTTCCACTCCTCGACTGGAGTCTCTGTCAGGAAATTTCTCTTTAGTTCTAGGTTGGTTCTCTCCTTGATAAGTTTCCATCCTTGTTCTGCTTTCAGGTACTTTGGAGAATAGGTTGATTTTCCGCCCCCCCTCTTCTTTGTGGATATCCTAGATATTGGAACACTACTATCATGTCACCCCTAGTCCTTCATTTTATTAAACTAGATTTACCCAATTCCTGAAGTTTCCACTTCATCAAAAGGCTTACAAGGCACTTGTAAAGATGGTTGATCTGATTGCATTGATGCTGCTTTGGGGGAGTTTTTATGCTGTAGTTTTTAATGTTGTAAGCCACCTGGAGTCACCTATGTGTGAGTTAGAGCACCATATAAATTTCTTAACTAAATAAATACTATAGACTGCACCAACCGCAGATAGTAATGCACATTCAAAAGAGGCAGAACTTTGAGGATGTAGTTAGGCCCATTAACTTGTCTGCTTTGATCTTCCAAACACCTATGTATGCAGGTTATAGAACTTCGCTGTCATGTTAGTAAATGACTAAGTTTTACCAGCCCAACTATTTATCTATTTTATTAAGATATAAAGAAAATAACTGGTAAATAGCCTCCTTTAATTATTCTCATGACAATCGTCTGTTTCCTATGTTTTATCAGGTTACAACGGGTTTTGCTTTACATATTGTAACTTTACATGCCAAAAGGATTTGTTTAAGATTTTATCCTAAAAAGCTCCCAAAAATATTTTGAATTAATGCCTATATGATTGAATGCATCAATAAATAAATATGGAATGGTCACAACTAGTTTACCTAGCCTAATTTTTATTGTTCCTTGACAGGTCCTATAAAGGTAAAGGTAAAGGTTTCCCTCGCACATATGTGCTAGTCGTTCCCAACTCTAGGGGGCGGTGCTCATCTCCGTTTCAAAGCCGAAGAGCCAGCGCTGTCTGAAGACGTCTCCGTGGTCATGTGGCCAGCATGACTAAATGCCAAAGGTGCACGGAATGCTGTTACCTTCCCACCAAAGGTGGTCCCTATTTTTCTACTTGCATTTTTTACATGCTTTTGAACTGCTAGGTTCGCAGAAGCTGGGACAAGTAATGGGAGCTCACTCCATTACATGGCACTATGGATTCGAACCGCTGAACTGCCGACTTTTCAATCAATAAGCTCAGTGTCTTAGCCACCTAGCCACTGCATCCCTTGACAGGTCCTATAAGTAATTTTAAAACTTGAAGGAAGAAGAGTTTGCTTTTACTGCAGTTTCCATTTCTTATTCCACTTTTTCACTTTCAGCTAAATTGTACATGTGAATGATTGCCTGTGTTAAAATTACATTTTCTATTTGGAGTATCTTATTTTTAAAATATTTTTGATCTGTGTATACTGTACAACATAACATTCTTATCATTAAGCATTACAATAGCATTGCCAGTGTACAAAACTTTGCATCAGATGCTGCTGAGTCCCCCCCCCTAAATTGCACAGGTCTAGCAACTCTTTCATTCAGCTCTACCCAACATTGTTTACTCATTACTCATTACTATCGTTAAATAAACAATATAAAAAAATAAAGACGGGTCATCAGAAGAGAACCATAAAAGAAAAAAAAAACCTAGATAACTAATTTGGGATTATATGAAAACAGGTGAAAAATGTGTCTCAAGCAGTGGTGATATTCAGCTGGTTCTATCCGGTTCGAGCAAACTGGTAGCGGTGGCTGCAGGAGGCTCCGCCCACCTGCCTGGATGTCATCACATCCTGTTTTTGATGCTTTGTGCATGCACAGAAGGCTCTGTGCATGCGCAGAGATGGCGCGCACGCTCACATTTGTGAACCGGTAGCGAAGGTACATGGATACCACCACTACTCTCAAGGCATTAGGGAGATGGTTTGTATTAAATACTTTGCAGTAAACTGGAAAGAAAACATAGTGTTATGTAAATATTGACAATGACATTGTCTTTTAAATAAGATAATTTTAAGTGCTAAGAGCGGGGGGGAGGGGAGGGGGAGAAACCTGATGAGAATTGTGGGAAAAAAGTGATTTAAATCCAGGTAATAAAACTATAAAGTTAATGAAGGTGCTGTGTTCCATTTGATTATGTAAGCCATTTGATAAGAACCTTCATAGGAGCTCAGTACTTAGGCTAATCAGTGCACACGATAAAATGGATGTTTAATGAAGCTGGACGCCAAGCAAAACATTGTATAATTGTACTAAGCAGCTCTCTAGGTAAAATGATAGCTTTTAAAGGATGAAATATAGTATGCATTTGGCTTACCGTTTGCTTAAGCTTCAGTTTTTTTTTATCATTTCATTTGCCAATGCATCTCTGAGGAGATTTGTAACAATAATACAAGCTGAAAAATAAGCTGTTAACTGGATCAAGAGATGTTATTCATTCAGAATAAACTATCTGACAATTTTATCCCCCATGCACATTTTATTTTCCTTTGACAAAGAAATAATCTTAATTTGGAGAGAAAGAAAGTTGTTATAGAGATGTACAAAGCTTGAAAAAGATAACCAGACTCTTAGAACAAGAGAAGGGAGAAGAAAGTTATCAGTATTCTGGAATATAACTATTATTTCATTACCTCTACCTGATGTTTTTACAGATATCCATGGAAGCAAATCATGTAGCTGTCTTTGTTCATATTTTGGTGTAGGATTTCAGAGGCTTTGGTGCTGTGAAAGCCATTCTCAATTTTGAAATTGACCAGCTACAAATGCACAGAACAGAACAGCACAAGAATACAATATTTTATTGGCCAAATGTGATTGGACACACAAAGAATTAGTCTCTGGTGCATAAATTCTCAGTATATATACAAAACACAAGTAATATAATCATAATAATGATACCAATAAGAGAAGGTAGTAGAAAAGACGAGAAGGATAATAGTAATACAGCCGTACTACATGGGTAAATATCCTTAGATATAAGATTGTGAAGTGGGAATTAGGTGTTCAGCAGAGTAATGGCACAAGAGATGACCATTAAATCATACACACACACAAGCACACTTTGTTTATTTCTTGTAGGAAGCAGCATAATAAGCAAAAGAATTAAAGACATGAGGCAAGAGAAAAAAAGCAAAACCTGATTTCCATCAATACCATTCCTTATACCCTTCTACTGTCAGGCCAAAAACCAAGAATGATATGTGACAATTTTTCCCAGGTGAGTACTTTATTGTTTCACACCTATAAGCAAAATCTTGTCAGTCTGAGAACTCTACTATCGCCATCTATAATGTACTCTGTGAGCTATTAGGGAGGGACTGTCTTCACCCTCTTTATTTCACACATAATATCAAGGCTAAATTGCCTCTTATTCCTCTGGCATGCACCCCCCTTCTCTTTGGGATCCACCTCTTCACTGCATTCTATCACACCTACAAGCCATCTTTGTTTTTGCCATATCTCTACACTACCTCATGTATTGCCTCTTCCTCCTTAAACATACCATTCATTTATTTATCTCAACTGATTACTGTATATATTATGTACTACTTTTCTACTAGCCTGTGCATGCATTAATTTTTTTTCTACCTATTAATTCATCTTCGGTGAACATTCTATCGAAATACACACAATACTATAGTTTTTGCCATCTATTCTTCTTGTGAAACACAAGTATCTGATTTGATATTTTATTTTTCAGATACACAGTTCTTGTTCCATCATGTGCCGTGTTTCCCCAAAAATGAGACCCTGTCTTATATTTTTTGAACCCCGAAATAAGTGCTCGGCCTTATTTTCGGGGAGGTCTTATTATTTTGGGGTGCATGGAGCAAGATGGGGCTCCTCTTGCTGTCTTACCTGATTTCCAGCTCTGCGTTTAAATATTTTTGGGGAGCGCTTATTTTCAGGGGGAGGATTATTTTAGCGCATGAGTTCAAAAGTCCGATTGGGCTTATTATCAGGAGATGTCTTATTTTTGGGGAAACAGGGTAGATGAATACTGCAAAGAATTCAAATATCAGTGAACAACATGGAATGTTTTGTATAAGAACCAGCATACACAGTCCTGCCTCTTAGGTGTAGCATTATTGAATCTGCTATCCCAATTAGTAGATGAGGCACCTTAATTTTTGTTAAAGCATTCAGGTTGCCTTCCAAGACAGCCCCATGTAAAGGCTTATATAAAAGGTGACGAAGATATGAATTATTGTTGCTCAGTTTCCCGGTGAAGAGTAAAAATCTGATTTGTACAAATGAATCTCCTTGTTTTTGTTTTCTCTCTTGCTACCTAGGGGACTAATAACATTATTTTTCTAATCATCAGGCACAGATACAGTCTTCACACATACATGCATTAATCAAGTTGCACAGCCACTCCATAAGCAAACCACATCCATATTTTAACATTTCTTCAGTTAAAGCATCAATAATGCACAAGAAGAAATTTCACTGTATTTAGATTGTCATGCAAGCAATTCCTGTTGAAATTCTTGCTCCTATACATTATAGACACCCACCATTAAGAGGGGGTGTTACCATCTTTGCATCTAGTCCATCTATTTCCTTCCCAATGTATGTTCTTTCAGAACTGTTTGGGGATTTGAGAGTTGAATTGGAGCCTTGCTGTCCTACTGCAACAGAATTTTCTTCAGCTCCAGCTCATGTGACCAATTGTAAAAAAAATAATGGAAATTATAGTCTAAATACATTTGTAGCATCAGGAAGCACTTCTTGAAAATCCAGACTTTCTAAGTCATCAATAGTTTCAAGCATCATCTATTTGTTCCTCCTCTTCTCTGCAGTGTTGGTCAAAACTTTTTTGTCTTGAAGGAATACGATAAAATAAACCATGACCCTACTGAAAAATGAGATATTCTATTAATTCTGTGAAGAAGAAATGCATACATCAGAAATGAATGGATAGAGAGACTGGGGTAAGTGTTTCTATGGAAATGCTAGTCTAGGAAGTCACCAGCACTTTAATTAATTAAAAAAAGAAAAAAAGATTCTTCAAAAAATGGACATTTGCCTAAATGTTGCAAGTGGAAGGAAAATAAATTGCACCAAAGATCTGCAAAGAATAAGAAAAGATGGATGGAGGAGCAGAAAATGATTAATAATATCAGTAATAATATCAATAATGACAATATTTGCCTCAGTAGCAGAAAACTAACTAACTTAGGGAAGAGTTTACATCTTTAGAAGTATATTAAATATGATTGGTAGGAAGTTGGAATATTTTTTTGTAGAAATGGAATGGAGATTCTTGTGTCTGAATTGTTATATTCAAGAAGGAGATTGAGATGTTGTAAATCTTAAAGGCAGATTGAAAATAAATTATCAGGTCTAGATAATATCTAAGAGTTCTTAAAGAAATGAATTATAAAATGGTCAGAAATTTAGCAAGTGAAATCAGTTTTGAAAAAAAAAGATTCATAAAGAAAATTACAGGGCATTTAATATAACATTTGTTTATGATATATTTCTGGAAAACATTAATAAAGATCAGAATACAAAACAACAAAATATAAATCTGGTTGAAGAGTCAACATAACTTCGTAAGAAGTAATTCCTATCTTTTATCATTTGCTGAGAATCTCAATATTATAGATAAGGATGCATTAATAAACATTATATATCTGAATTTTTATAATAGGAACAATGAAAAGTATAAATCACACACTTATTTTAAAAGGCATATACTTAGAAATGCTCTATTATTAACTTGGTTAAAAATAAAAAAACAACATTATACAAAAATCCCGATTTGGTTTTCACCCTCAGGAACAATCTTTTTATTGGTTCATAACAGGGGTGAAATCCAGCAAGTTCTAACAGGTTCTGGAGAATCGGTAGCGGAAATTTTGAGCAATTCGGAGAACCGGTAGCGGAATTTTTGAGTAGTTCAGAGAACCAGCAAATACCACCTCTGATTGGCCCCAGAGTGGAGTGGGAATGGAAATTTTGCAATATCCTTCCCCCAGGAGTGGGACAGGAATGGAGATTTTGCAGTATCCTTCCCCTGCCATGCCCACCAAGCCATGCCCACAGAACTGGTAGTAAAAAAATTTGGATTTCACCACTGGTTCATAACTAGCTATATGAGTTAAGAGAAAGAAGGATTTAAACGGAGAAGGAAATCAAAGGGTGAGAAACCTTCAAGTCTCATCAAAAGGATTAAGCTTTATAATAGGAGCATTCTTCTCATTTGTTGATAACTAATTAAAAATAGAAAGTAGAGACATGAATAAATTATTAGGTCTTCCACTGAAAGGACACATATAGAGGCATCCCCAAGATCAATACTGTACCAATGCTTTTTAAATAGTCTAATTCATCAGTGATTAAGACTACTTGAACTAGGTTTCTTCAGTTGGACTTAAATATCACTATGCAGATATGGAGAACACTAAACTGGAAAAATAGTAAACTCAGAAAGTGGGCTGGCCATGTTTGGTGAAGGGAACCATTGCAAAGTAATTCAGGAGAATGGGTACTAAGCTGATATATATATAATGATTTCTCAATGAATGCAATTGTGACTCACATTGGATAAAACCACCACTACATGCTGATGATGTCTTTGATTTCTTTTCAGAGTTGTCGTCCCTTTTTAAAGAATCTTTCAAAACTTCATTGAAGACCTCATTCAACATCCAACAAACATTTATCTTTTTACAGTAGGTTTTTTTAAAAAAGGTTTTTTTTTAAAGACCCTCTCAACCTAGGAGTTTAAAACAAACAAAACTCTGTGTAATGGAATAGCTGTATAAATTATATAAAATCATACATAGTTGAGACATTTTCTCAACTTCTGATAAACAGTATTGTAAATGTGTAATCATGCACAGAAATTAAATTTAGGAACTTTAGACATTTAGGAAATGTAGGAACCTTGAAAGCAAATACTTCTTTATCCAACACTAGTTATAATTATTGAATTGCTGCCATCTGAAAAAAGTAACTTTGATATAGACATTTTAAGAAGTGGGCTGGACAAATTCAATAAAGGTTCGGTGATTTGATGGAAAGATTATGTGACTTAATAGTCTGTAATAGAAGCTGTTTCTTACCTGCAGAATTCCTGAGAATTGCTATTTGGGAGCATTAGAAGAAGGCTATAAAGCTCTTATTTTGTGAATTGCCTGTGAATATCTGGTCATGCATTATAGAACTCAGACCTGATTTCTTCTCTTCTAATGTCCCTCTGCTTTTATGGTCATCCCCATTCAGTCTCTTCAAAACATAAATTTTGCTCATCTAGTGTGAATGGGCAAATTCCATGTTGGGGATCAGTAGGAAATTAATTAAACCCCAGATCTGACAATATCACAATGCCTTTCTAAAAACATAAAATCAGGTGTGATAATTGAGGTTATTTTTCCTGGGGGTGGGGGGAAACAGACAGTAGAGCCACGGAAGATGCAGAAAAGGGCAGTCAAAACAATCAGGCAGCATAGCAGCTCTCTTATAAAGAAAGAACTCAAGAATAATGGGGTAATAATGAGTAAAAATTTTGTAAAAAAGCCAAGGTTTGCAGGCAGTGGCATGGAACTCTTGGGAGCATGTCCTGCATTTGATACCCAGTTCCTTTCATGTTGTAGATCTCAATCTTCAGAGCAATTTTCTTGAATTTTTGAGCTTTGGCCCTTAAACAAAGCACACCATAACTGGCTGAATTTGAGACCTTCTTCACTATAAAACCTAAATTCTGCTGCAAAACCCTGGTCTCCTTTTTTTATAGCAGCAGTGAAATATCCAGTGACTTTTTATGGATAAACTGTGGCCTTATAAAATTGCCACATTCTGATGTAGTAAAGAAGAAGGCATACATAAAACCAGAGATTCTGATATGCATGCAAAATTCATAGCCTGTCAAAATAAAAAAGCATAGAATGTTTAGTGTGTGATGATTCGTTTGTAGATTAAACAGGGACCATGCTTCTTAATCTTCCCTTTCAGAGTCAGTTCCCAGTTGCTTTTATATTTATAACACATTCTCAGGCCACTCCATGGTTTATGTAAACATACATTATGGAGATAGCCAAAGCACATGATTAAATCAACATCTGAATGTGTCTAAAATCTGTTATCACTCCTGCACAGAGTGTATGAATGCCCATGTGATAGAAATGTTATTTTGCTGCTGCTAAATTATGCAGATATTTAGGGGGAAAAAGTTAATTCTGAAGAGGTCTTATGAAGCAGACACAAATCTATTGCTATTGGTTATTAAAGGTTATTATATATTGATAGCCTAGGATTTATTACTGAAAGAATAAACCGATCACTCAGGATTGGATAGTAAACTCTGGGGAATAAGCCGCTGAGCTGTTAGCTTGGGGTAATCTATCAGTAGGAGGAGAAGTTGCGTTCTATCAATTAAAGGAACAAGCAATTCTACTGATTTGCTACTGGCAGACTAATAGAGATAATGGGTTTTACTGGACAGCAAAGATACACAGCAGTAGCAATATATATATATATATCCCAGTTCATTAAATGATTATGACTGTTGCTGTACAGATATGTAACTGAAGGACATCTGGCACCAGAGTGTCTAGCTTGGACAGAACTGCAGCAGAAGCAGGGAACAGTAATGGAGAAAAGTCTATGCCTTTCAGTTTGACGGCATACATTAATGAGTTTATGACAGGATTACATTATTTGAATAGAGTTATATTTAGTTTTATTAGGCTGCTGTCCTCCCCTCCTTGTTATCCAGTGTTTACGGCATTTTGGCCTGACTTGTAGCAGCCCCTCTAACTATAAATACTTCCTCTGTCACCTTTGCTTAGTGGATGTGATGATGTTATTCCCAGTATGACGAGGTTTCTCCTTGAGTAAATCTATTATGACTGACATGACTCAATGCAGCACAGAGGTCAACAGCTGACACCCAGTAGCAGACACCATCTCTAAATCCCAACTGCATTGTGGATTGGAAGATAGGGTGAGCCCTGAACAGCTGGTGGACAATCATTATAAGCCTTTAGAGAATTGGAACTGAACTACTGGTAGATGGACTGAATCCTAAGCCATTGGAGAAAACCTGAAGAGAGGCTAAGATTAATAATCAAGTGAAACTTCCAGTTTCCAAGAACTATAGGATGCATGAATAGTCTAATCTGTCTATGGAATGGACAGATGGCAGCTGGAACACCTGAGCTTTCCTTTCTATGTTACATTTACTTGCAGATTTGTTGTACTGCCTTCTAGAGAAGTTCAGTTGTACAGAATTCATGGTGATATTAAGACGGAACAAAGAAAAGAGAAAACTGCAAGGGCTGAGAGAACCTGGTCAATGGTAAAAGAGTGTCCTAATAATAATTTTGGCTGGGCCCTTGTAAGTATTTTAACCAGTTGGGAAACATGGTTCAAGCAACAGTAGATCAGAGTGACTAGATTGTGTTGGCCTTTGCAAAAAACCCCACAGTGTTGATATTTAGACAAGGGGGTCCCTGGTATTAGTTACCACTCTTTATAGAGTACTATAAAGTTTTAACATATGCCGGTGAAACATAGACACTAATCTCACAATCAATGCAAAAGCTACAAGTAGTGCAAAGAGCCATGGAAAGATGCATGCTCGGCATCACAAGACAAGATAGGAAGACCTGCACATGGATTAGAGAACAAACAAAAATATACAATGTCATCAAAAGAGTAAAAGAATTGAAATGGAAATGGATTGGCCACATAGCAAAAAGAACTGATGGCAGGTGGATTAAGGCAGTCATACAATGGATCCCACTCAGTGGTGAAATCCAAATGTTTTTACTACCGGTTCTGTGAGCGTGGCTTGGTGGGCATGGTATGGCTTGGTGGGCGTGATGTGGCTTGGTGGGCGTGGCTTGGTGGTTGTGGCAGGGGAAGTATACTGCAAAATCTCCATTCCCACCCCACTCCAGGGAAGGATACTGTAAAATCTCCATTCCCTTCCCACTCCTAGGGAAGGATATTGCAAAATCTCCATTCCCACCCCACTCCAGGGAAGGAGATTGCAAAATCTCCATTCCCACCCCACTCTGGGGCCAGCCAGAGGTGGTATTTGCTGGTTCTCCGAACTACTCAAAATTTCTACTACCGTTTCTCCAGAACCTGTCAGAATCTGCTAGATTTCACCGATCCCATTTGATAAAAAGCATCCACAAAAGAGACCTAAAATAAGATGGAATGACGACATCAGCAAGCATTGCAGGCCCAACTGGCAAAAGAAAGCTCAAGACCGTATTCGTTGGAAACATGCTGAAGTGGCCTTCATCCTGCAGTGGATAGACAATGACTAGAATGATGATGATGATGATGACGGTACTATTGAAAACTTTGAAGGTACATACAACATAGTGTTTAATACAAGTCTGCAGGAGTAGGGGTTTTCTAGTCAAAGATAAGAAGAACAAGCAGGGAATCTAGAACTTTATTTCTTCTTAAGGGACTAGTGTAGAATTGATTACACAGACTTGAATACAAACTAAGTATAGAGCGGGAGTTATGATATATAAAAATGTCCCAACCCTCTCAAGTCTTGCTTTTATTCCCAATAAAATCCCCAATGTCTTTTTTATGACACTAAGAAATATATACTTATATAATTATTCCAGCAGGGTTGAGAGAGTGAACCTGAAGAAATATTTATATCTTTATTGTGCGATATAAATGTCCTGCTAAATAGACAAGTTAGACATTTTAATTTGATTTGGTCATCAACATTGTCATCACCTGAACTCCATAAAAATACAAGAAAGCGGGGATGTCACTGACTCTTGGAAACACCTATGAAAGAACATGTTTCTTGAAATAAGTATGCGTTATAGCTCCACAATTAGTGGTTTCACTATTATGGGAGAGCCCAGAGTAATATAATTAATAACTGTAGGTGTCATAAGTGAATAATGGATGTTCTATTTCAGGCAGAGGAATAAATGAATAATCCTACTATAAACCCATTAAAGATGCACAGGCAGCAAAGTGTATAGGTTAATAAAATGTTCAATAATAAATAAATTAACTGAGTGGTAATAAATTTCAAGGGGTTGTCGTCACTCCATTTGTGGACGACAATGAATATATATGAAAAAGCACATCTAATAATCAAATTCAGGAGAGGATGTATCCTGAACCACTTGCATTGACTGAAAATACAGAGAAACCATATTTATATATCAAGCTAAGAAAGCAAAACATTTCGGTTATTTGTGCCTACTGCCCTCTTAACCTCACTGTGTGGTGCATTTTAACCAAGGTCTAGGTTTATTGTGAGTTCATGTTACAAGAAGCATTGTTTTGCACTTGCAGAAATGAAACATCACAATCAATGGCAAATCCTGTTTACAGTTTGTGTAACAGCAAGAAGCTCACCATTTTAGATTTAAATGACACAATAATCTTCAGATCTTGATTAAAAGGCAGCACAGCATGAAGTGATGGTGGTGATAAGTTAAAACATCAACAAAACATTAAAATATTCAAAGTAACAAAAAGCAACCAAGACAATAACAAGTCCATTAACTACAACCATCTCTCTATAGGTCAAATCCGTACTAATGGTCATCACATTTAACCACTAAGGGACTTCTGGAATTTAATATATTCTATAAAGCCATCACTGTGGAGGTGAATCTAATATCTATGGGGAGACTGTTTCATTAATTAAAATGCATAATCACCTGGATTATGAGATCCATAATTAGCTCCCCTTCTCTCTTAGAAATGTGGGATTCGTGATGATTGGACAGATGGGTTGGTTCTGGGTGGAGAACACAGTCTTGAAGGTATTTTGGCACCATGCAATATAGAGCATTATAGGTCAATGCCAGGACTTTGAATTGCAGTTGGAAGCTCCTTTGCATGTCCTTAAGCATAGGTGTAGTAAGCTGTTGATGGATGACACCTATCAGTAATCAGGTCACTACATTCCATATTAGTTATAGCTTCTCCGTTATCTTCAAATACAGTCCCATGTTGGCACCTTGCAGTAATGTAATCTAGTGATGAAGGCATAAATTACTGTTGTGAGATTCTCAGGTTCCAGATAGGTTGGCAAGTGGCACAGGAGTCAAAGGTGGGCAGACTCTCCGGCCATGACCTGTGCCTGCCCATTCAGGCCTAGCCATGAATGATCCCTCAGGGTTACTGCTTCCCCCAATGACAGACAATACCAGAGCTGGCTAAGTGCCTTGATGTACAAACAACAGGTGTATCTTGTTTGGGTAGAACTTCAGTCTCCTTTTCTTCATCCAGGCTCCAACAACATTCACATAGCAAGAGAAATCTTCCACAGAATTGCCAGCCTGTTCTAAAATGGTACTGTACATTTAGATCTCATCAGCATGTTGAAGATACCATATCCTGTACCAATGGATGACTTTTTCCATGGATGAATGACAATTTAGTGATACCTGATGTGCAAGAATTATAATAGATACAGTACTGGCAGATCAATGTGCTGAGTGACAAGTATGTCAGTTATCCAACAACAACAATCTAATAATTTAAATCCAGTAGAAAGAGGAAAAAATGAGGTAGAGAGAAATTGAGTTAAGATGAGTTAAGAGAAAAAAGGATTTAAACAGAGAAGAAAATCAAAGGGAGAAAAATCTTATTTAGATCTCACCAAAAAAATTAACATTCATTTGGCAACTTTACTTCCTAAGCTCGGTCTAACTTTCAAAGGTTGTTTCTAGCCTTTTCAGTGGAGATGTCTGGAATTATTTGTAGTTCCTGCTCATTTACTTGTTTTCAGCACCATCTTCTAATTCTGGTCTTCTCAGTGAATGTAGGTCATCCTCCTCCCAATTCAAAGTTATTCATTTGGGACAGAAAAATCCATCTTCCAGGTGGGGAAAAATGTTATCCATAGGTGAATTCTTTCATATGTCTCCACATCAGTTCAGTTACCCTTATGGGTGGATTCCATTTCACATTTTTTCTTCTATAAAGCTATGCCAGCTATCCTCGATTGACATTTATATGAATGAATATCACTGTGTGAATTGAGTAATTATAGATTTGGCTAGCAGAAATTTGAATGGTATTAGATAAGGAAAAACTAAAGATTCATAACAGGAGCCAAATTCCTTTCTAACACTAAAGACTAAGGATTTAGGGAGAATTCAAATCCCCAGTATATTGATTTTTCAGTCTTAGTACTTTGATTGTAAGTGATTTTCAGCAGTATGTAATTTCATTGCATTCTTTGCATTTAGTACCTAGAACAGTATTAACATTTGGCCTTAACTGTGAAATGTCTCTTGCATAATTGTTAGGAATAATAACATTGTACCTTGACTTAAATAAAAGTCATACATTCCTTGGGATTTATTATTCACACATTCCTCGGGGAACAGAAAAGTTTGCCGAGCTCAAATTTGAGTTTAAAATTATTTGTGAAACAAAATATTATAACTAAGATACCCAAAATATTATTAGCAACTCATTTGGCTTTGTAAAGGGCACCATACTAAATCGATGAAACCTGAAAGCAAGCTGCTTTAATGAATAATTGTTTTGAAAATTTGTGACTCTTGCAGGAGACCATGAATAAATGTTTGATGAGCATATGCTATAGAACACTATCATTGACCGTCTCTTCTCGCAGGTCCAAAATTATGAGATTTGGTTTTGTCTAAGAGGACATCAGATAGGAGACCTTAATGTCCATCAGCTGCTAATTGCCTTTATTGAATAAAATCCACCAATCTGGAAGTTTATAAGGTAGTGGCAATCATGTCATAAGACTTCTTAGATTACTGAATGTTCCCACCTTCAATAAGAAAATACAATGGGAAAGAGAATTAGGGCTTATCCATATCCTATGGTTTGACATTGTCAGAACTGACCTCTAAAATTCCTACTGGCTCCTGAAGACTATTTTCTTTGGCAATCTGGTGGTATTTGATATGCTATATTTATAATTAACATCATGTTTTTGATGCTGCTTCTGCTATGCAAACTCATAAAGAATAATATAAAAGAAAGAAAAGTTCCAAAGTAGACCATATAAAAGAATGGCGACAGGAAGACGATTGCCAGAAATAGCAATTCTATGTCTCTGTTTCTTCTTTCCATTACTGTAGCTCCAAACACTCTTCTGAAATATAACCACTGCTATAAAGCATTATTTGTTGCTACAGATGCTAGACTAGAGAATATTATAGCTATATATGCTGTATGTACATAAAACTATGCAGAAAATGAAAATCTTGGATTTTACAAGTATCTCCATCTAAAGTTTAGATATCAGGTTTGCACAAATGTTGTTTTTTGGCTGAACTTTATCTATTGATTGTATTTATATATTACCAGACTCAAGAAAAGACTGGTGTTTA